GGGAAGGGCTGTCTCTCGCATGACATTGTGTGAGTGGCCTGGCTGAGGGATCTTAGAAAGCCAACTTCTCAGAAACCTCAGGGCTTTCCTGTTATATAAAGAATGACTGTATTTGTTGGAGCACCTATCACCCACTTGTGTGCTTAAATCACTGACAGAAAACTCTGTGGGCAAATTATGGGAGAGTCATGTTGTGTTTCAGTTCACAGCCCAAGCAGTGATATGAAACACTGTGTGACTGGACTAAGGAAAGAATGCATATTCTGAGGAATGAGATACAGTGAAACATTAAGATCAGATATTATTTACTGCAGCTTTGCAACAGAAAATTTCCATAAACTCTATCATGGGTTTTTATTTTTTAAAAATCTTCAATAATTTACTGACCGTTAAGGCCATGATGCCTTCTTATTTCAATAATTTTTTATTACCCTTAACCCATGATGTTTTAACCCTGTCAAAAATCTGACCTCATTATTCAGCTGGTTTGACTAGCTAATTTGGAAGAGCAAATCTGTCTGAAAAAAGTGAAAAAAATCCAGCCATTTTTCACATTTTGCCTCAAGCATGTAACTATGAATCATTCATAACACTTCTTGGTCTGTGACAGATTCATTATTAAAAGTTTATTTAATTATCAATACTGTGCTCTACTCTATTAAGAAAATCATATTTTATATTGACTACTACTTGTGAATGAAGTTATCAGTGTCATTCAATCCACTTGGAATCCTGAACATCTGTTTCATTAAGCTGATAGTGTTTGTTACCGACATGTTTAATGCAATATATTTTCCAAGAGCATATTGGCAGTTCTCTATGTGTTAAGAGAACTGGTGTAAGCTAGTATATATGATACTGTGTGTCCTGTTTGTTGTTGTCAGGTTTTTGGGGTATTTTTTAACATCAAATCCACTGAGAGATTATACTGCAGTGCCCACTTCAGTAGTGCTGGATTAATTTATTTCATTGCTATTTTCATCGCAAATGTGTGACAACGAACACAATGATCTCTGCATGTAAATTATATCTAGATGTACATAATAAAGGGATATATTGTCTGCTGTTAATGTCAGTTGTTTCTAGTTTGACTAAATACATTAAAAACATATTATGATATTATGGATATTATGCAAACACCAACATTAACATATTTTAATACATGCATCTATTTTTTCTTCATTTCATTTTAGATGAATATCCATTACCATTATCAATGTTTTATCTTTTTTTTTGTCCTGGAAATTGGATTCTACATTAGAGAGGGTAGGTAATGTTTAATAGAAAAATTAGAAATACTCTGGAATATTCTGTTTCAAAATAGAAAATGTTTAATTTTATTCTATATGAGGTTGTTTTCATGCTCAAGTGATATTTTCTGCTTATTTTCACTAGTCTCAATATTTTTTATACTGGAAAATTCCTGGTTGAAAAATTGGCTTTTTTTAAACAGAGGTTCCAAATTTAATCCAGAAGCTTTCTTTAAAAACCTGTGGTATAACTGCAAAAGAGCGTCTTGTGTTTTTTTTTCATTGTTTTTATTTTTTATTTTATTTTATTTTTTAGCAGTCTGCAAAAGATTGTTCTAGTAGCTGGCAATAATGCAAGCTGCTTAATTTTCTGTGATAAGTAAGTCTTATGATGACTCAAGTAACTGTATTAAGCCATGGTTACAAATTAATATGTGATTAATATATTAATATGTAGTTAGAAACACATACAACTTTCTTTCTTGATCAGTTCAGCCTAACTCATTAAAAAATCAAACAGTTCTTACGAGACCTGCTACTATTTTTGACTTTTATCTTTCATTCTCTGGTTCGACTGAGGAAGGCAAATATCACTAGAAGATATATTTTTTCATTAAAATCTTCAAAAATCTCTGTTTTAAAGTACTCAACCAACCTGAGCAGATGAGACAACTCTTCTGCTTGATGAACTGTTTACTATATCCCTGACCAGATATAATAAGAAAAACTATCTTGTAGAAATTAACTGCTTTTGAGACTGTAACAGTATGGGAGATATTTTCAGAAATGTACAGAAAGATTCTGTGGATCTAAATACAATAGTAAATCAAAATTAAAGACAGTCAAGCCACAATAGCAAATAGCATAGAAAACTGGAAAAATAAGACTTGAGAACTTGATTCCAGGTCTTCTATAAGCTAAATGAATATTATAATTCATGTCTTTACATGCAATTCTTGTTCTGGCGTTGCAACAGTGACTGTTTATAGGCCAGTCTTTCATCTCCCAGCTAAAATTTTTGATGAATTCTTATTCTAGCTATTATTCAGACCAAAAGGTTTCAGTTTGGTATCTCCCTCCAGACACTCTTCTGTAAAAACATGTGTTTGTGTGCATGAAAAAGATCCTAAATTACCATATATTTTCTAAATAGTATGTAATCAAGCAGTTAAGGATTTAATCATAAAATATAACACTAGCTAGCAACTTTAATGTATGTACTTTCCAGTTACTCAATGTCTTAATACCATATAAAAAAATTAAAAAAGAAAATAGAAGACAAACAAGTTCCTAAAACACCACAAACTCTGTATTTCTGGTTCTCACATGGTGTAGCATAAACTAATATATATGAAAATATTGAACACAGTATTTTAAATACATTCCTCTATTTCTCAGTCTCAAAAAGAAATTTGTTTTTAATTTTCATACAATCTTGAATATGAAACTCAAGACCCAAACTCATCACAAGACCTAAACATCCACCAGACTAATATACAGAACAAGACCATATCAAAGTAATAGCCGGCAAACCTGTCCATCAAAGCCAGCACAGTTAATCTCTTCCCCCACTATCCCAAATGTAGCATAAAAATCATAAATAAAATATATGCTTACCTCCAGTGGTAATTCTGTGCCCAGTTCCACACTGGAACTATGCAGGGGAAGCAAAGCACTCACCTTGTGTCAAAATGGATTCTCTTGGTCAACGAACACTCTGGGAGAAAATTTTCAACAAAATAGCTATATTCTGATCATTCTGATGCTCAACAGAGAACTAAAAAAAAAAAAAAAAAGGCAAAAAAAGGTCTTAAAATTATAACTTACTGATATATACTGTGATTTATAGACTTGGTTGTGATATATTCTAGTCTTTTGACTTTTCTGGTTCATACTTCATTATTTTTTTAACTGTTAACTGGCTTGTTCTTGCAGATCATTCAGTATAATGGTTTAACTTAAATCTCTTGTTTCAAAGTGTGATTTGAGTTTGAGGCTATTTTGTTAATCACTAGGAAATAATTGAGTTTTAAAGTTGATCTGCTATTTCCAGCTACTTAAACTGGTGCACTAGACGATATTACCTCTAAAACTCTTACCGGCCATGTACTTATTATGCAGAGCTCTTACAGCAGTGGAAGTTATTTTGTACCACTAACAATTCAAAACTGAGAAAGAGACGTCAAGCAATATCTGTCAGAGACTAGGCAGTGGGCAACTTGTCAGAGTACTGGTTTGTAACGTTAAAAAAGTTATCCAAATTCCTGGTCTGAATACAGAAATGGCTTGAATTTTGACTTTATTTAAATAATTTGTATTTGAAATATTTTGAAAATTTTAACACAAATTTAGTGTGGAAAAGGAAGGAAGAAGAGAAAGAAATAAACTCTTTGTGATATTATTACCTGAGCCAACAGCTCTTTTTTTCCACACAGCTGTGGCCACTGAGAGAGGCAAAGTACCTTTTCAAGCTGCTCAAAGTGCATGAGTAGAATTGACATTCTCTGTGCCAGAAGTTTCATATCACAGCAGAAGCAGCCTCCACAATGATACCCTGTAACTAGTGGGATGGCTGGATATTTGCAAGTGGGAGCTGACTGTCCTGGTTTAAACCCAGTCAGGCAACTTGTTCACTCACTGACATCAAGAGATCCCCCCCCCCAACTCCCCCACTGGGGCTCTCCCCTTCCTTCCGCAACTCCTATGGGTTGAGACAAGAGCAGTCCAGAAACCAATGTACAACACAAATCACCACTGCTACCACCACCGACAACAATGATAACAGAAAATAACAAGGGAAGAGAATACGATACCACCGGCCAAGAAACGAGTCCCACCAGGAAGCCCGTGTCCTTCCGGGTAACTCCCAGTTACCCCCCACTGCGGGCATGATGTGCTGTGGTATGGAATACCTCTTTGGCTAGCCTGGGTCAGGCGTCCCGTCTCTGCTTCCTCCCGGCTTCCCCTCCTCCTTGGCAGAGCATGAGCCTCACAAAGTCCTTGGTCAGGGTAAACATCAATTAGCAACAACTGAAAACATCGGTATCACCAGCACTGTTCCCAGGCTGGAAGTCAAAACACAGCACTGCACCAGCTACCACGAAGGAGAAACATCACTGCTACTGCTGAAGCCAGGACATTATCCACCCCTTATTCCATACCATTCACGTCATGCTCAGATCCCACATTTTCAATACACCATTGATCTCCCACATATATACATCCATATACACACAGACCAAGAGAAAAAGATCATTTTCTTAGTGCATGGACCAATCCCTATGATGCTGCCGAGTCTATTTGGTCCATGATGTCAGGTTCCATCTCTTATAACAATCTTTCAGGGCAGGAAAGGCTGTGTGCAGTATTGGATCGTTGCCTGCTGATGCTAGTCATTCCTTTACTGCGGAACTCATGCAGTTCTATCAAAGTTCATTCTCTGTTGGGATGATGGCTGGAGGGAAGTCAGGGCTAGTCGCTGGTGACCTGGAGACATCTAGTTGATGGGCTATAAAAGTATTACACAGCAGGCAACAGCAAACAATTAAGTTCATTGGCTGTTTTCCCCTAAAATCAACTCCCCTTGAGGTATACATCGGACTTCCCCATCTTCCCGCATTACCCACCAAGTATATCCAGGTCTCTGAGCAAAAGGAATCCCACAAGTGGGTTTGCCTTTACCTGAAGCAGGAATTACCCAGACTGTCTTCCCCAGCAAATTCTTCATATGCACTACGGGAACTTTGTCCCCCTCTACAATATGTAAAAGTTCTGACTGGGCTGGGCCAGCCCTGTTGGCAGATCCTCTGGTGTTGACCAACCAGGTGGCCTTTGGTAAGTGTGTATCCCAATGCTTGAAAGTTCCCCCACCCATTGCTCTCAGTGTAGTTTTTAACAGCCCATTGTACCGTTCGATTTTCCCAGAGGCTGGTGCGTGGTAGGGGATGTGATATACCCACTCAATGCCATGCTCTTTGGCCCAAATATCTATAAGGTTATTCCGGAAATGAGTCCCATTGTCTGACTCAATTCTCTCTGGGGTGCCGTGTCGCCACAAAATCTGTTTCTCAAGGCCCAGGATAGTGTTCCGGGCAGTGGAGTGGGGCACAGCGTATGTTTCCAGCCAGCCGGTGGTTGCTTCCACCATGGTAAGCACATGGCGCTTGCCTTGGCGGGTTGGTGGCAGTGTGATATAGTCAATCTGCCAGGCCTCCCCATATTTATACTTCAACCATCATCCTCCATACCAAAGAGCCTTTAATCGCTTGGCTTGTTTAATTGCAGCACATGTTTCACACTCATGAATAACCTGGGCAATAGTGTCCATTGTTAAGTCCACCCCTCGATCACGAGCCCATCTATATGTTGCATCTCTGCCCTGATGGCCTGAAGTGTCATGGGCCCACCGGGCCAAAAATAATTCACCTTTATGTTGCCAATCTAAGTCCATCTGAGCCACTTCAATCTTAGCCGCTTTATCCACTTGTTGGTTGTTCTGGTGCTCCTCAGTGGCCCGTCTCTTGGGTACATGGGCATCTACATGATGTACCTTCACCACCAGGTTCTGCACCCTGGCAGCAATATCTTCCCACAGTGCAGCAGCCCACATGGGTTTACCTCTGCGTTGCCAGTTGCTCTGCTTCCATTGCTTCAACCACCCCCACAGGGCATTTGCCACCATCCATGAGTCAGTATAGAGGTAAAGTACTGGCCACTTTTCTCGTTCAGCAATGTCCAGGGCCAGCTGGATGGCTTTCACCTCGGCAAACTGACTCGATTCACCCTCTCCTTCAGCAGTTTCTGCAACTTGTCGTCCAGGACTCCATACAGCTGCCTTCCATCTCCAATGCTTTCCCACAATATGGCAAGAGCCATCAGTAAACAAGGCATACTGCTTTTCACTTTCTGACAGTTTATTATATAGTGGGGCCTCTTCAGCACGCATCACCTCCTCCTCTGGTGACATTCTGAAATCTTTGCCCTCTGGCCAGTCCATGATGACTTCTAGAATGCCTGGACGACTGAGATTTCCTGTTCGAGTTCGTTGTGTAATTAGTGCAGCTCATTTACTCCATGTAGCATCGGTTGCATGATGTGTAGAGGAGACCCTGCCTTTGAACATCCATCCCAGCACGGGTAACCGGGGTGCCAGGAGGAGCTGTGCTTCAGTGCCAATCACTTCCGAAGCAGCTCAAACCCCTTCATAGGCTGCCAGTATCTCTTGCTCAGTTGGGGTATAGCTGGCCTCAGATCCTTTGTATCCCCGACTCCAAAAGCCGAGGGGTCGACCTCGAGTCTCCCCTGGAGCTTTCTGCCAGAGGTTCCAGGTAGGACCGTTCTCCCCAGCTGAAATGTACAGCACATTTTTTACATCTGGTCCGGTCCAGACAGGTCCAAGGGCTACTGCATGAACTATCTTGCGTTTAATTTGCTCAAAGGCTTGTTGCTGCTCAGGGCCCCATTTAAAATCATTCCTCTTCCGGGTCACATGATAGAGAGGGCTTACAATCGAACTGTAATTTGGGATGTGCATTCTCCAGAACCGCACTGCACCCAAGAAAGCTTGCGTTTCTTTCTTATTAGTTGGTGGAGACATTGCTGTTATCTTGTTGATCACATCTGTGGGGATCTGTCTACGTCCATCTTGCCATTTTATTCCCCAAATTTGAATCTCCTGTGCAGGTCCCTTGACCTTACTCCATTTTATGGCAAAACCGGCTTTCAGCAGGATTTGGATTATTTTCCTCCCTTTCTCAAAGACTTCTTCTGCTGTATTACCCCACACAATAATGTCAACAATGTATTGCAGGTGTTCTGGAGCTTGCCCCTGTTCCAGTGCAGTCTGGATGAGTCCATGGCAAATGGTAGGGCTGTGTTTCCACCCCTGGGGCAGTCGGTTCCAAGTGAACTGGACACCCCCCAAGTAAAAGCAAACTGTGGCCTGCACTCTGCTGCCAAAGGAATTGATAAAAATGCATTGGCAATATCAATCGTGGCATACCCCTTGGCTGCCTTTGACTCTAGTTCATACTGAAGTTCTAGCATGTTCGGTATGGCAGCACTCAATGGTGGTGTGACTTCATTCAGGCCACAACAGTCTACTGTTAATCCCCATTCTCCATTAGACTTTCGCACTGGCCAGATGGGGCTATTAAAGGGCAAGCGAGTCCTGCTGATCACTCCCAGACTCTACAGATCAGCTGATGGATGGGAATCAGGGAGTCTCGGTTGGTGTGATATTGCCACCGGTGCACTGTTGTGGTCACAATTGGCACTTGTTGTTCTTTGACTTTCAGCAGCCCCACAGCAGAGGGATCTTCTGAGAGACCAGGCAAGGTGGACAGCTGCTCAATTTCCTCAGACTCCAAAGCAGCAATACCAAAAGCCCACCGGTACCCTTTTGGGTCTTTGAAGTACCCTCTCTTGAGGTAGTCTATGCCGAGGATGCATGGAGCCTCTGGACCAGTCACAATGGGGTGCTTTTGCCATTCCCTCCCAGTCAGGCTGATTTCAGCCTCCAGCACAGTCAACTCTTGGGATCCTCCTGTCACTGCAGAAATATAGCCCTTGACAGCTTGATGGCATCAGGGTACACTGTGCACCGGTATCTACTAGAGCCTTATACTTCTGTGGGACTGATGTGCCAGGCCATCTGATCCACACAGTCCAGTAAATCCGATTGTCCCCTACCTCCACCTGGCTGGAGGCAGGGCCCCTCTAATGGTCATCACAGCGTTGGACACTTAAGTATTGGTGAAAGGGATTATTCTTCGTTATCACAGGAGCTGGAGTAAAATCAGCTCTTCCACTCCATCTGGGAAACTGCTCACCAGAGACTGAAGCCGTAGCTCTCATGGGATGATCAGTCTTGGCCCTTGCTCCCCTCTTCAATTCACTCACCCGTTCCTCCAAAGCTGAAGTAGGTTTTCCATCCCACTTTGTCATGTCTTCTCTGTGATCCAGCAGGTAAAACCATAGGGTAGCCTATGGAGTATACCTCCTGTATCTCCTCTCTCGAACAATAGGACGCCTTTTGTTAATAGCTGAGATGTGTGTTGGTACATGTGAGGAGCTGGATAAATCAGATAGATGGTCCCTCAATTGTCTGAGGTCCTGGGACAGTTTTTCCACAGCTGAGATGATGGAAGGGGTGAGATCAGCTTCGAACTCTCGGAGTTTATGAACCATTTCGTCCACTGTTAGTGGTATTATGTCATTCCAGGTTACTGTTGCCAATGAATGGGCATATGATGACGGTGCATTCCGTGTCAGTTTTTGCCACATGGGTCGTGTACATTCAACTTCATCTGGATCTATGGGTGTATCCCCGTTATTCGGCTTGATGTGATAGATCATCTCTACGATGGCTGATTCCCTCAGAGACTGGATGCCTTTGTCTATAGTAGTCCACTTGGCCGAACGACTCATAACATCGTCATGTATGGAAACCTTTCTTTCACAGCTGCCAAGAGCCGCCTCCAAAGACCGAGGGACTTTTTCTCTCTTGCAATTGCTTTGTCAATTCCCCCTTCTCTAGCAAGTGATCCCAGCTGCTTGGCTTCCCTACCTTCTAGTTTGTGACCATCGACCCCATTGTCCCAGCATCGGAGTAACGAGGTGATGATGTGCTCCCCTGGTTGACGGGTAAAATCTTTTCGCATATTCCGTAGCTCGGTTGAAGTCCGAGGTTGAGAAGTTACCTCTTCTTCTTCTTCTTCGTCATGTGATGATGACTCCTGATCAGATACTAGACCGGGTGGTGAATTCATTGTTTCTTCATCTTGCTTCACCCTTCTTGCCTCTTTTTTGCTTGTTCCCTTGTGTATAGGGGCAACTGATATTGGTACGAATTGGTCCTCTGGTTTGGCTGCAGTGATTAGCACTGTGGTTTGAGTAACGGTGGTGTAGCTGTTGTGCTTGGAGCTGGGGTAGCCGTGCTGTCTGTTGCAGTTGAAGTTTGAGCAGCTGCTGTACTTTCCACTGGGGTAGCTGTGCTGTTCATTGCAGCCAAAGTTTGAGTAGCGACTGTACTTGTCGCTGAGGGTGGTGTAGCTGCTGTTCCTGGAGCTGGAGTAGCTGCGCTGACTGCTGCTTTGCCCTCAGATCCGCCGACATTCTTTTCCTTTTGAAGGTGCTGGATAGTGTTGAACAAGGCCCTGTAAACATAGGCCAAGCCCCAGCACGTTGCCATGATTTGTCCATCTCTGGTATGGCCAGAATGCTCACACACCTCATTTAAGTGTTTTACTAATTCTTCTGGATTTTGCAGTTGTTCGGTAGTGAAATTCCAAAGTACTGGAGGGGCCCACTGACCTAGATACTTGCCCATACTATCCCACACACCCTGCCCCTCATGGCTGTCCAGCCTCAGGGAACATCTCTGGTCCTCCTACATTGTCATTTGACCCCAGACAAGACCCAAACCTGACTGCTTAACTCTTGAAATCAGTTGTGGGCAAAACACACTCTGTATGCGTGCTAGCATGGTGATTCCCATCATGATCAGCAAACAAGTCTCAACAGCATTAAAAGGCCATTCAAAAGCTTTAAAACTCTCAAATGTAAATGGTCTGGGGAGAGGATCTGGGGGGGTAAAAGGATGTCTCCTTCACAGGTTGAGTACCTGAGAAGGAGAAAAAAGATGTGTAATTGCTAAGCACTTCTATTATATACCTCCCAAAGTATAAAGGTGGTGACCACACTGGGAACATAAGCCAGATCAGTTTCATGATCAATGATTCTATTGTATTACAAGTCATTACCATAAAGTACAGTGAGACAAAAACCTTAGCCCAAGCCCCACACTTGAAAAACACTAATACAGCAAATACCAGATGGAAGTAAGATATGATATACTGAAACTGTGAGGTCAAGAGGAACAACCTTGAGAACCAATAAATCAGCATTCTGACAAGTGACTATTAATCCGGTCAGATCTGTCGTTATCTCAAACCCTTGTGCCCCACGTTGGGCGCCAAAAGAACTGTCGTGATTTAAACCCAGTCAGGCAACTTGTTCACTCACTCCCAGTGAGTGGTGCTGGGCTGACAGTAATCGAGCCCCCCCCCCCCCCTTCTGGGGCTCTCCCCTTCCCCACTCCTGGAGGAACGGGGAGGAGGATCGAAAGGGTGCAACTCCTACGGGTTGAGACAAGAACAGTCCAGCAACCAATGTACAACACAAATCACCACCGCTACTACCAACGACAACAATGATAACAGAAAATAACAAGGGAAGAGAATACAATACCACCGGCCAAGAAACGAGTCCCACGTGGAAGCCCATGTCCTTCTGGGTAACTGCTAGTTACCCCCCACCGCGGGCATGACGTGCTGTGGTATGGAATACCTCCTTGGCTAGCCTGGGTCAGGCACCCTGTCTCTGCTTCTTCCCGGCTTCCCCTCCTCCCTGACAGAGCATGAGCCTCACAAAGTCCTTGGTCAGGGTAAACATCAATTAGCAACAACCGAAAACATCGGTATCACCAGCACTGTTCCCAGGGTGGAAGTCAAAACACAGCACTGCACCAGCTACCACGAAGGAGAAACATGACTGCTACTGCTGAACCCAGGACACTGACTAAAGAATCATCTGAGGATTAGCTATTCTCACCTCACTGCAATACATTGCTTAGGGATGGTGTATGCTTAAAAGTTCTCCTAGTTCTTAGTTCAGAAGTCTATGAGATGAAGAAGCTATGTCCCTTTCTTCCATGGCACAGACTCTCTGCATGGCTGTCTGGTTCCTTAAATTTCCCTGGACAGAATAGTAGCACTCCAGATCCAATGTCCAGCCTCAGTAGGTTGTTTTATTTATTATCCATATTTATGTGTTCTTGCAGATACTTTCATAACCTTAATCCTTCTGTTTATTCAGCCATAGGATTTTTTTTAAGGAAGAAATGTGCATACAGACTGGATTGCATAGACTTTATCAAGTTTATATATT